GGAGCCTTCAACCTCAGAGTTCACAGCAAGCTGTGAACTTAACACCTTGAGATGTTTTTCTGGAATGGAGTTAGTTTTCTTGGTAATCCTCCTACCAGCTGATACAGAGCTGTGTTTTGTCTTTGGTGCATTTAGAACACTGATAACACACCGATGTTTTAGTTGTTGCTCAGTGCTGACTACCTTGAGTCAAGGGCTGTTCTAGTTATATGTACTCTGCTGGTGAGCGCCAGAAGCTCACACCAGAAGATCAGGAGACAACAACCACCAGCAAAAGCTGCAGCTCCGCAGGGGTTGAACAGCCTGCCTGCATGGACGTGGACATGGACATGAACATGGACATGAACATAGAGGAGGAAGACCCCAGACCAAAGAGGCCAAGAGGCGCAGACTACGCGCCTGAGGGGCTGGTGCGTAAGTTGTGTAATTGCCTGGGGATGTCTTTGTTCAGGGTCCCTCTCCAGAGGCACCCACATCCAGCTGATCTGCTGCTCTGCAACTCTGTTTCATTATTTATTTTTATAATCTGATGCCTCTCTGCTGTGGGAAACCTGCCATCTTCAATAAGACTCTTAGTGCAGTGGTATATATTACGTGATAGTTGTTCTTTAGGAAGCTCCTGTCAGCTCTGGGTTTTTTCTGCTTTTAATCACTTTTTTTATCTGCAAAAATGCCTTCCCAGAGCAAACAGTGCTGGGAAGGGATTGCTCAGGACCCTCACCTGTGTCTAGGCTGAACCTGTGAGTTCAGGGTGTAATGAGACAAAACAGCAGGTAGCTTTTCATCAGATTTGTGTTTTTTCTAAAGGGATAGTTTCTGCTTACCCTCCCTTCTCTCCTTCCTGACGGGTGTGGCAGAAAATTTCACTTACTTTCTCATTTTGATTTCTGCTGGCTTAGTTAAAGGAACCTACCCAAGAATGGGTTCTGGTGCAAAGGAGAGAATATGACTGTGCAGTCACAATTAGGTGGGAAAAGAGTAAGGGACAAAACTCATCCTTATTAGTGGCAGCCAACTGTTGGAGAGGCTGGGCTGCCTTTGCTAACCTGACCTTCAAAATCCTTCTGGATTTCTTAACTGAACTTCAGATTTCCTCGTGTACAAATGATGTGCTTTTAGAAATGAGTCCACAATTTCAAGATGTTTTCCAGGTAGTGGTTTAATAATTTCTGCATACCAGTGTGTTCTGTGTGTGACTGGAGAATAATGTATTTTCTGGTGGAGAAATCTAGCACAGAAGTTTTTACAGAATTGCCTTTTAAAATAATTGGTCTGGTATCTGTCGATTAGTGAAAGAATGACATTTCCAATCAGTGTGTAATTAAGTATCCATCTGTGTCTGTAAGCGTCACAACTTATTCTTCAGTGCTTTGTTCTCACTGCAGTAAAAAAAATGGTCTCTCTCTAGCACCACCTTGAGATTACCTTTTCTAGTACTGTTGCAGGAAAAGTGAGTGGCAAGAAAGGAATGGGGGTTTTTTAATATAGTCTCTTCTTGCTGATCTATACATTTCTCAAGTATAACTAAATAAGTACATTTTTTTCACTCTTTGAGACAAGGCTTTCCTTGGCGTGGATATTTTCCTCTGAACTGCCTGTATTCCTCCCTGCAGCAAAGTCTGTTTGAGTCATGCTAGATTTTTTTTTTTCCAGTGAGAGAAAGACAAAATTGTGGTTTATATACATACTGGAATTGGTGATGTCTAAATAACCAGTTGAAGGGACCCAGAGAGTACAAACCTCACCAGTGCAGGTATTTTTCCCATGCACAAAGAAACACATGTCAGTGTTGTTGCCCTGTGCTGCCAACTCACTGAAAATATAATTCACTGATCGCTGTGTGAGGGATTAAACCAGTGTGGCTGGAGTAGTTAAAGTAAAATCCCACTTAAAAATAAAAAAAAAACCTATAAAATTATTATAATTAGACTTTTAACAAGGTGGCAACCTGTTGATGAAACGTTTTTTGGGGATTTTTCTGGCTATCAGGCCGGAGACATGAAAAGGCAAGTACAGGTGTTGTACTCCCCCTTTGGGAGCTGTGAGGCAAATGATGTTCCCAAGCAGGATGTTGGTATAAAAAAGCCTGTAGTTCACTTTGGCTGCCCTTTAGCTTCGTGTCAAGCTCTCTTCATTGTGCTCCCCGGGCTAAGAGGCTGAATAGGGCAGAAGCTGTTCTGCAGTTATTAGTATGGTTATTTAAATATATTTTCATTCGGCCAGTCTAATGCGCTTCTGGTTCCTGTCTGACCAGACTTTTCTTTTCCCCGTCTGTACATTTCAAAACTCTTAGAGAAGGTGTTTTTCATTTCCAACTGCATGACCAGAGCAAAGCTGGGATTTGCACTACCAGGTACGACACAAATCCCACCGTGCAGAAGTCTTGGCCAGTCGTTCAGTTGTCAAATCTGTGGTTTACTTACCTTTGTAGTAGGAGAATTACTGGATAACGCAGATTTGTGAATGAATTACGTAGAAATACGGGTTTAATTGCAGTATTGAGATGCATTTATGCCTCATAACGTGTGTATTCATCATTTGGGTTTGTCGATGCTTTTCTGTGGCCTTGGAAATAAGTTGTTCCTACATGATATTTACTGTTTATGTTAAGTTACTATCTCCAGAAATTCTTCTTTCAAGTTGTTTTCAAGAGAGTTTTACTCAGTGCAAGTATTCACAAATATTTTTCTTTATATATATGTTCCTGTATTTTGCACTATGCATTTTATGCATACTGCAGTGTGCAGTATGCATATTATTTTTGGAAGGAAAACGCTGGGTTTACCCTTTGGAGTTTTGGGTTTGTGGCTTTTTTCCCTCTCATATTTAGCAGACCTAGTCTTGTCATCTTCATCTTCTTTGTGTTGTCCAATTTAAGCCAACCTTTCTTTCCTTAACTGGTGTTCCTGTCCTTTAACTATTTTCATGGTCCTCTTGCACCACACAGCATTTCATTCGTTAGCCTGAAGGAAGCACAAACTGTTTTAGTATTCTTTAAAAATGGAGTTTCAAAGTGGGTTTGGGCAGACAGGACAAAGCTGAGCTTGGCACAGCACCGTGCTGGAGATTACATACATATAATTACATATGTACAATTGTGTACATACAATAACAGGCATCTTGGGATGGATCAGGAAACTGAAGAAGGACTGTCAGGGTGCAGAAAAATTCTGTCTGAACCATCCAAGTTTCCTCAGGATGCTCAATTACTGACTGGCCTTCTCTGCAGAAGTGCATTTTTTTTTTAGATTAAATCTTACTGCTGCTTTTTCTTGCTCACACTTTGTTTTCTGAAGTGCCATAAATTTATTGTTTACTATGACTTTGAACCTATAAAGAATTTGTTCCATACCATTGATCTGCAAGCGAATGTGGTAGTTGAAAGATCTTTATTCTGTGTTGAATTCCAAGTGAAAATCTAGGTGAAAGGCAAAGTGTGAATAATGAAGATAGAATGATAACTATTGATCTCTCAAACAAAATTTCCTTGAGGTAGCTTTAGGTATTTTTTGGTAGATAACATGCAAGTTATCAATCAGATAAACAGCTTGGGTGTTGTATTTACGCTGAAGCAATGCCATTTGTTAAATTATAACCTGAAGTAAAATGCAGGATAGTGGTGTGGGTGGATAATGTTTCATGCTTGCAGCCCCTACTACTTGATGCTGCTTTCCTGGCAGATCTGAGAGGAACTAGGTCAGCCTTCAGGTACTCATATAACCAGGACTTGTTTGGGAGACGCTCAAGGAGCTCTCAAATGGTGTGTTAGATACTCCTAAAACATCTTTACGGGACTCACCAGTGTGGTGGTTCTTGCCTGAGAGCAAATCTGTGTTACATGTAGCTAATGCCTCCAAAGACAGTGCCTATAGCCCTGTCTCTGACAATTTAGTAGCACTTCCTGCCGGTTCTTTAAGTCTTTTGTACCTCAGGTCAACTGGCAGAGCAGTTCCACTGGAAAAGGAGGGTGTCTGCAGTCTTGCTCTGTGATGTTCAGCAGCTTCTTCAGTTTCTGTGCACAGTGATGAAATTTCTCCTCTGTCACGTTGGTACAGTTTGGAAATCACCAGAAAAACTTTGTAGTTTTATGAGGCTGAGGTCCTGTTCAGCTGAAAGTAGACTTCCCATAGATATGGAAACTGAATTATATTGTGGTCTGTCCAGGTGGATGACTGCCAAGTCTGGAAATTTTCAAGCTGGTGCTGTTAGGAGGACTAAAATTGTCTGTTAAAATATATTTAAAGGTCTAGGTAAAGAAGTTTGACATATGTTGATTATAACATATTGATTAAATTTTATAAGCTAGGAGTTCAGAAATATTTTTATTATTTTCTGATCTGTTTTGATTATTCCAGTGAAGTGCACCATGTTTAATGTGTCTCCAGTACCATCTTTCATGGATGTGTAAAAACAAAGGAATAGTTCAGTGTAACAGGATGAGTTCACTAGGAAAAAGTAAACTGAGAAAACCAACACAATACTGAAAAATACAATTCTCTGCTCTGGAGCCAGGCTGGGAGAGCTGGGAGTGTTCAGCCTGAAGAAGAGAAGACTCCAGGGAGACCTTAGAGTCCCTTCCAGTGCCTAAAGGGGCTCCAAGAGAGCTGGAGAGGGACTTTGGACAAGGGACTGGAGGGACAGGACAAGGGGGAATGGCTTTAAACTGGCAGAAGGCAGGGTTAGATGGGATATTGGGAAGGAATTGTTGTCTGTGAGGGTGAGGAGGCCCTGGCACAGGTTGCCCAGAGAAGCTGGGAAGTGTCCAAGGCCAGGTTGGATGGGGCTTGGATCAACCTGGTCTAGTAGAAGGTGTCTCTGCTCGTGGCAGGGGGGGTGGAACTGGATGGGCTTTAAGGTCCCTTCCAACCCAAACCATTCTGGGATTCTGTGAACCATACTGTCTATAACTGGAAGCAATGGGTTGTTCAGGTAATACTCTGAAGAGCAGGGATGAGTGAGCTATTTGTTTAAATTATTCTTACTGTTCTGTTCTTGTGCAGGGTGCTGTATTGCTGAACACCACATATAGTTCATCCACTCTTCCAGACCCTGTGCTCAATGCTTTAATACCAGGAGGACCTTTCTGCTCTGCAATGAAGATGGAGGCAGTGGGAAAAGCTGAAGAACTTGCTGATTCAGAAGTTCCACCAAAGGCTTCTGAAAAGCAAGAGACTGCTCCTGATGAAGACGGACCTATAGAGCTCGAGACACAAACTGAGAAGGACAGCATGCCCACTCCAGCAGACTCTGCAGTGCTCTCTTCCATGCCTTGCTTGCTGATGGAACTGAGGCGAGACTCCTCGGAGTCCCAGCTGGCATCCACGGAGAGTGACAAGCCAACGGGCAGTCGAGTTTATGAGAGTGACTCTTCTAATCAGTGCATGCTTTCCCCTTCTTCCAGTGGGCATTTGGCTGACTCAGACACATTGTCTTCCACAGAAGAGAATGAGCCCTGTCAAGCTGAAGCTGTCGCAGAGGGAGACCCTTCTGCAGTGTCTGGGGCCGCAGCTGGGAGGAAATCCAGGAGATCCAGGTCCGAGAGCGAAACTTCAACCATGGCTGCCAAGAAAAACCGACAGTCCAGTGATAAGCAGAACGGTCGAGTTACCAAGGCAAAGGGTCACCGAAGCCAAAAGCACAAAGAGAGGATCCGGCTCCTGAGGCAGAAGCGGGAGGCAGCTGCTCGCAAGAAGTACAACCTGCTGCAGGACAGCAGCACCAGCGACAGCGACCTGACCTGCGACTCCAGCACCAGCTCATCCGATGACGACGAAGAGGTTTCAGGGAGCAGCAAGACAATCACCGCAGAGATACCAGGTAGAGGATGTTTTTTAAACTGAACTGTAAAGGCATCTGACATCGTTTCTCAGCTGTCATGCTAAGTTAGATGAGTGACGCTTGAGACAAAAAAAAAAAAAAAACAAACAAAAAACAGGAGAACTGCAGCTCTGTGTAAATTTGAAGACTGCAGTGTGTTAACGAGACATGGGCAAATATTAAAATCTGTTCTGAGGTTTTGGTGCACTTTTGCACACCAACAAAGCATAGCAATGGTAAATGGGAGGAAGGACTACCTTTGAATTCTGGAGTTTTCAGATCTTTTCCTTTGTAAGCCTATATGAACTCCTGTCAGTGCTGTCAAATCCCATTAGATGGTGATAATCGAATTCTTAAGATAAGTGGCCAGCTTTGCTTTAGTAAAAAAAGACCACAGCTTGGCAGTTATGTTAGAAATGGCACAGCAGACCTCTTGCCTGTGTTACAGCAAGGCCCTGGCCATTATTGCACTTGTTCTGTGCTTTCAGCTCAACATGTCAGTGCATGACAAGCCTCTTAGCCTTATTCTAAGTTCTTGCAGATTGCAGCTGGTCACCTATTTTAGGATATAAACATGATTACACAGGTGCCCAAGCTACAGTCCCACCTGAATTTTCAATATCCTAGGCAGAGCTGCCACTGTTTTCCTATGTCCTAAGGTTCAGTAATTTCTACACTTTTCACTTTCTGACGCATTTCTGTTAAGATGGGAGCTAGCAAATTATAGGGGCCTTCTTGTAATTTTGTTAGCAAAAGAAAGTTGAATTCTTCAAGGTTTTTGTTTGCTGAGTCTTTGTTATTTTATTGCCTCAAGTGCCGTGGACAGGATTTTGTGTGAATTATTCTTGCAGCATATTATAACACAGAACCATCATCCTATGGCAATTTTCATATGGCAATCAGAAATAAAATCAGAAATAAAAATAAACCTTTTGGCTTGCCAATTTTTACTGGGTTACACGCCTTTTTGCCTCTTATGCTAGAAGGTGTTTTTAGGGGGTTTTTTTGAGAAAAATCTTACAAAGGGCAAGAACGTTTAAAGGAAAACTGCAGAATTAAGTTGCTGAACTAAAGTTTGCTAGATTAATTATTTAAAATATTTGCAGCAGATTTTACAAATTACTGTTTTAACTGAGTTGATTATGGTGGATGATGCTGTCCCCATGAAAACTGGCGTTTTTCCCACACCTGCTAGGAAGCAGGTTGCACGAAGGAAGTAAATGTTTATTTTTAGAAAGTCTGGGAAAGGCATAATATCCTCCTATAATTACTGTGTAGTAAACTTTTAATAGAGATCTAAAATTATTTTTACCAATTTAGTAGTTAGGCTTTCTAGCTTCTACCTTTTTATTCATTATATTTACACTTTGGGGAATTAAAGCCCAATTTAAAGCCTGTTGAAGAAGACTGTTTCATTGAGTTTTGGGACTGGTTCCTCCCCACCTCTCAAAAAACCCCAAAACTCACAGAATAAATCCCCCTGGTCATATGCTTTTTTTTTAAGTCATAAAAGTACCTTGTGAACCAGAGGGCACCACATGGTATTTTCAGGTTTGCTTGGGTTTCTCACTGCCTTTGCAGAGACCTGAAACCATTCCAGGGCACTTTGAGTGTCTCACTGGGCTCTTGGTCTTAACCATGAGATGCTTGTGGTGAAATGATCGCATTGCAAGGACGAACTTAATTTATTGGTGATGACAGCAAAGCCCAGTTTAACCTGCAGTACGAGGTGTTGCAGTGCACAAACCATCCCGAGGAACGCTAACATTTGTTCTTACTCCATAGCATGTGTCATCTGCTTGATGCTAAGTTCCATTTAAGACATCGAAACCCTTGAGCTGCCCTTTTGGTGCCATCTGGTGCGACGTGAACCTGCCACGTTGCGGTTCTCCTTTAAATAGGAACAGCTCTGGTTTGTGGGGAACAGCTCACAAGTGCAGGAGAAAAATATTCTCTGTAGAGATAAGGACAAAGTCTGGCCAAAAAAATGCATTCTGTGCTGCTTGTGGTTTGAGGAAATGTTGTGGACATGACAGATACAGTGGAACTGCGAGTCGGAGTCGAACTCCCAGAGCTCCATCCCAGTGGTGGGTTCATGTGCCATCTGTGATCCTCCCTCCTGGAACTGGCAAAGTACTGCAGTCCTTCTTGTGACTAGAAAGCCATTTTAGTGCACTTAGCATAACACTGTGAATATCCTCAAAATTTAGGGAACAGACGTGTAGGTAGAAGATAACTCAGGGTATTAAAAAGCGTGACTGGAAATTCAGGCCGTGAGTGTCCTCTACACACAGTCAGAAGCTGAGAGATTTAACTCCAGGGTCAGGACGTGAAGAAACTTTTGCCTTTCCTTTTAAAAGAAGTCTGTACACGTTGATGCAGAAGAGTTTTCCAGGTAGCCTATGTTCCCCCTTAGTCTGCCTGTATTTGGACAGTTCAGCTGCAGTGTTGGTTACTGACTCAACACCTCTTACAGTCGGGGCTCATTTTCAACCATCTGTTGTCTGAAAAATAGCTTTGCCAACAGAGATGCTCTAAAATTTTTAGTGACAATAATGTGGCCTTCATGACAAAGGTTACATGTACTCTGACTCTTAAATTATGGACACAGGGAGTGGATTCAGCAGCCAGTTTGCTTGTGTGTGGTCTGAAAATAAGGCTGCCACGTTTGAGAATACAGTACTCCTTCATGGTGTGTCACTAAACCTCTTCCATTTAAGTAGTGCAGTTATCTTTTTTTTGAACTATCCACACCACTGGCTCTGAAATAGGTTTGGCTAAATTTGTAAGGTAAGGAAAATGTTCAGTGAAAATAATGCCATGAAGTTGCTAGGAGAGCAGTTGTGCTACAGTTCTCTCTGCTGAACTCAAGTGTACTGCGGATTAAAATAGTGGCAGGCTTGGTTTTCTCCTCAGGAAAGATTGAAGAGTTGAGATATTGCTGGTGGTACTTCAATACAAGTATCATGAGCTGCACAGGAGATAAGCACAATGTAAGTTGTGTTATTCTGAACGCATCCTGTGGTGTTATTTTACACCTGAAAATACGGGTTCAGTCTAAACTTCATGTGTGCTCATGAGAATTGTTTCACTGACCCGAGCAGTCGTAAACTTGGGCTCTTTATTTCAGGGAATGCCATGATCTTTGGGTTATTGCAGATGAGAAGCAATTTTTTACCTTTTAGTGACTGAGCCTCTCTGTTGGCATTTAGGATTTTACCATTCTTAAACACCATATAAACATAGCATAAAAGTCCCAGAATAGGTTCTGCTGGACTTGCTGCTGCTGGAAGTTACTCCTTTAAACAGTCTCACTTTTGATGCTGCAACTTGACTCTGAATGCAATTGGCATGAGAGAAAGTCTGGGAATAAATATTTATTTCTCTGTAAACACTTCTTTCTTGGAAAAAGGAAGAGGTTTTTAAAAATAGGAAAATATTGGCATTTCACTACAATTGTGCTTTCTGCAGCTCGGAAAAATCTGAATTGAAGTGGGAGTGACTCATGTTTCAGGCTTTCAGAAAAATCTATTAAAAAGTTTGAGTGTTGATGTTGGAAAAGTCTCAGCTCACTTTGTTGAAAAAGAAAAAAAAGAGAGAAGAGTTTTTTTGGTACGCAGAAACCCAAAGAAGGGGGGCACAGTGTGTCCATGTTCCTTCCTCCCAAGAATTGTGCACAGACCCTCGAAGAAGCATCTCACAAGGGATGAATTTGGTGCAAGCTACTCAGAATGACAATTATATTTAACAGATAGGAAAAAACATAGTCTGTCAAAAGTGGTTTGCAGTAAGATGTTCATTTGGAAATCTGTGGCCTAAATGACACAGAGGAATCAACCACTCCTAATTAGAATGAAAGGGAAGCATATCTTAAATTTTTACATTGTCAGACTTCCTAAATTAAATAACTTTGGATTTGGTTAGTACTTAATAGATCTCATAAAGAGACAGTGTTGGGGCATTTCTTAGGTGCTGTTTTGCAGGAGCTGGTGTCTTGAAAATGGGATACGAATCTTGGATTCTGACCCCTTTGTGACTGCAAATTTCTTCACCTGTAAACTTGGCATAACTTAAAAAAACCATTACAGAGGTTTAAGTTTCTAGACAGAGGAGGGACTAGTTAAATAAATGCTAGCATTTTTAATATATAAAATTACTTTTTTGGCTTAATTTTTTTCTTAGCCCCAAAATAAAGAAAAGATTGAATAAGGCTTGTTATAATAACTGCAAGGGAAGCATTCAAAACATTGATGCTGCTGTAAATTGTAGATGCATTATGACTGATGCCTTTTAAAAATAGTATTACAGGGTTATATATATTTTAATACATAGTTTCTTCAGTTTACAAAACAATTTTGTCAACTTTATCATTCTAGTTCATTCTTAACTTTAAAAACTTAGGTAGATTGTCTCATGTATCACCATCAATAGTTTTTACTTAAATAGTAATAAATTAAATATAAATTAATAAATTAAAACTTAACATTACCTATTAATAAACCTGTGGAAATCAGACTGTCATTTAGTTCCTTGATTTTAGGATAAGATCCCTGACTAGTGACAAATAAACAGCATTATATTGGATGTTTGATGCTAGGAGTAATTGAACAGGAGAAATATTTTTTTCAGGGATGAAAAAGATATTGAATACACAGAAGTAACCAACCCATCTTTTAGGAATAAGTTAGCATATCACATAATTATTTGTAGTTAAAATGCAGTAGGAGGGATGTAAAGTACTTGCTATAAAGTAATTATTTTTGAGCAGAGGACCTGAATGCTGAATTTCCAGCCTGTCTGATAGGTAAACAGATGGGGAAATAGACTTAAAAATTAGGGGGTTTTGTAACTGCTCGTAAATAAGAAAATAATCCTGGTCTTTCTTTAGCTGTTACGGAAGGACCTGTGTATACCTCATTTAAATAGCTCCTGAAAAGAATGTGGTGTTTAAGTAACACTGTAATTTCGTGTACACAGTGAAATCCCAATAAAGATTTAGT